CAATGTTCTGCTGAAGATATCTCATCCATGGTTCTGAAAAAGATGAGGAAGATTTCCGAGACCTACTTGGGCTCAACTGTGAAAAATGCGGTTATCACTGTCCCTGCTTACTTCAATTACTCACAACGCCGAGCTACAAAAGAAGCAGGCATCTCTGCTGGCTTAAATGTGTTGCGTATTATGAACGAACCAAGTGCTGCTGCCATTGCTTATGGCCTTAACAAAAAGGCCGGTTGGAGGAGCCCACGAAATGTGATGATATTTGATTTGGGTGGTGGCACTTTAGATGTGTCATTGCTTACCATGAGCACTTCTGGTGACTTTCAAGTAAAGGCAACGGCTGGAGACATTCACCTTGGTGGCCAAGACTTCGATAGCAGATTGGTGAAATACTGTGTTGAGGAATTCAAGAGGAAGCACAAATTGGATGTAAGTGGAAATAAAAGAGCTTTTAGGAGGTTAAAAAATGAATGTGAGAAGGCAAAGAAGAGACTCTCATTTGAGTCTGACTTCGAGGTTGAAATTGACTGTTTGTGGGAGAATACTGATTTCACCATAACTTTTACTCGTGCCATATTTGAACAACTAAACAGAGATTTATTTATCAAGTGTATGGAGCCTGTGAAGAAGTGCTTAACGGATGCTAACATGGACATAAGCAGTGTCGACGACGTTGTTCTTGTTGGTGGCTCTACTAGAATTCCCATGGTTCAACAGCTATTACAGGAGTTTTTCAAGGGGAAGGAGCTGTGCAAGGGCGTTAATCCGGATGAGGCAGTGGCATATGGTGCAGCGGTTCAAGCCGCAACCTTGACTAGGAATGGAAAAGGGGAGTTTATTCAGGACTACACTCTCAAGGACGTCACTCCTCTTGCAATTGGTTTGGAGTTTGCAGATAATAAGAAGTTCGTAAAGTTGATTCCAAGAAACTCACTAATTCCCGTCAAGAAGAAAATAAAATGTCCTATCAAGGATAACCAAGTTTCGGTCGACTTCCGCATGTACGAGGGTGAGAGTAGCTCGCCAGCCAATCTCAACTTTTTGGGTGAATGCAGCCTCCGTTACATTCCTCCAGCTCCCAAACTTGTTCATAATTTCGATGTTTTCTTCGAAATTGATCCCGATGGAATCTTGAGTGTCTTCACTGAAGATAAGTCCTCTGGCCAGAAGAATGAGATCATAATCAACCGTGACAGACCGAAGAACTTTGAGGGGAACTGAGAGAGAGGTGAGAAATTATATTCAAACTCTGAAATAGCATATATTATATAAAATCAAACTCTTTGACCGAAGAACTTTGAGGGAATTGAGAGAGAGGTTAGAAATTATAATCAAACTCTGAAATAGCATGTATTATATAAAATCAAACTCTTTGATATATCTTTACTTGTACCAGGTTATGTTGTTTTAAGGTGAAATCATGTGTTTTTGATCTACTTCATCCACGGGATACTTGCAGCCCCAATATTCCTTACCAACTATGGCCGTCTACACTACGCCGCATAGCAGCATTTTTAACTCTTGCATCTGTATTGTCAACTCAATGGTCTTCACCATGTGGTGCCTCACAGTTTTCTTATTAATGCTTGATTATTACTCTCTTCGTTTAAACTGTGTTAAAGTTGAATATTTTGTTATACAAACTGGTTAAACTACAAATTGGCTCATTCATCTGTATTGCGCTTGATTTCTTTGATGGGCTCATTCGAGCTTGGTTAACTTGTAGAATAAACAATTCAAGCTGATTGGGAATGGGTTGAAGAAAATGGACCTTCAACCATAATTCGACCCATTTTCATTCCTACTTTGAATATATATATATATAGTACTAGTCGTTGTTATTGTTAAGGATCAAGAGATTGAGTTCGGCCCAAATAAATTCTCGGCCCAATGCAATACCTTACCGAGGGGAAGCCCGATTAGGGCACGCGAAAGTTCGTCATACGCGCTTGCACACATGCCACGCCAAGCAAATAAGCAACACGTCACGCTACAAGCTTAAGTGGGCCCAAGCCACTCAAATGCCCGGGGCTTGCTTGAGTGGGTTGTGGTATGGATGGTAACAAGTTATCATGGGGCCCATCGATGGGTCGAAAAATGGAAGTCTCGGGTCGCTTGGGGACCTCAAGACTCAAGCCCATTTTCTTAGGCCCAAACATGGGTAAGCACAAGGGAGGAGATGGGTCATTGCCTCAACCAAAGTAAGCCCATTAGAATAAACTAGCCAAATAAGTCTATTGACCCAATTAGCATAGCCCCAACCAAGATAAGCCCATTGCCCCAATTAAAATAAGCCAACACTTGATCAAAATATCCCATCCGTTGGATGAATCATGTGGTGGACTTAAAAGACTTATGAAATTAGAATAAGAGGGCAGCATCAGACCTAGCACTCAGTTTGAAAAGCAAAACCAACGTTGGAAATCTACACATAGGTAGCTGCTGGGAACTAGTTCCAAGTATAGGAATTCAAGAAACCAAGGGATTTTGGCATGCAAGGGAGGATGCTACCCCTTAAACCAACGGGTACAATCACTTTCTTTCCTTCATCAGACTGGGCCATGGAAAGAGGAAGAAAGAGGAGAAAGAAGATGGGTGAAAAGGGGAAGCTCCCTTCTGAGGTCGCCGCTGGAAGAGGCTTAGAGCACCCAAAACATCTGATTTTGTGGGATTGGGCAGAACTGACCTTGCCACTATGAGGTAAGTCAAGAAGGAAGAGGAGAAAGGAAGAAGAAAGCCTAGCTAAGTTAGGAAGAAACCATTAGGGTTTCTTGAAGAAGAGCAAACCCCATCAACTATAAATAGGGCCTCTTCCACCCAACCAAACAACAACAATCCACAGCCTTACACAGCCTTTAGAGAGCAAGCTTTCTCTCTTGAAAACCCACCACCTTCAGAGAGCAAGCTTTCTCTCTTGCAAACCCAGCAAATTTTCGTGCTTTGCTAGCCCATTTCCCCCATCTCCCCTGCTTTGGCAAAATTGCTACAGCTCTGACAGAGTCACTGTCGAGCTGCCGGAAGCTACGAAAACCACCTAAAACTCTCTTCCTTAGAACCTCTCCTCTCTTCCATTAGAACCTCTGACCTCCATAGGAACCCATAAACTCTCTCTTTCCAAAAGTGCTAAACCCATGATGACTTTGCTCCCATGCCACATGCTCACCATGCCAAGCCCAAAAGTTCATATGTGAATGTGAAGAAACTATCTGTAACTTTCTGTTGCTTTTGTTGGAAAAGATAACCAAAATACTTCCTAAGGCTTTGTTGCCCTTTCGAAGCATTTTGGGGCTTAATTTTCGAACTCAAACAAAGGGGACAACTTCATCAGTCCAGCCCACTCGCTGCCGGAAGGAAAAAGCCCCTACATAAATTGGCGACTCTGCTGGGGATTAGGCTGATATCTTCACCAATACCTCCAATGTCAAAGACCAGAAGCAATAAACTAGAGAAAATAAGGAGATAAGAACATTCCCTTTTTCTTGTTTGTTTTTTCCTCTTGTTGACTATCTACTTTGCATAACAAACATAAATATAGATTACTCACATGCTCCATTTGTTTGTTAGATCCCCATTCTCAAGCAAAACAAGATCTTGTAAGAGGACTGGGGGCTTCAGTTTTAAAAAAAAATTAATTAATTCCCTGCCTGCTCCTGTTTCATATTTACAATATACTTATATCATCTATTACTTCCCTGGATACAAAATTTCACAAAACAAAAAGTAGTATTGCAACCAAACTTGAAAGAAAGAACCATTTCATTGAAACTATACTAATCATAATGAATTCCAAATACAAACTCTATAAAGTATTAAAGAAACACATAATAGTGCTACCAAATTTACAATTAACTTGTACACATCCTCCAACTCATTCACTCATAATAGTGCTGCCAAACCTACAACGTAACCTATGCAAAAACATGATAGCACTGGCAGTAGACATCATCTAACAAAAATGAAACTGACACTTGATCTGCCACCTGCATTTTGTTTGAAAACTCATTTTAGCAACTTAACCATTGTGATTTGCCAAAGGAAAAACCTCATTCTAAATTAATATAATGGTTACCTCAATCAAGAGCTAGTCAAAGGAGATGAACTTGATTGGCCATGCGGTTGTACTGAGAACTACATCTTCAATAAGAAAAAATTCACGTGTTGGCCGAAATAAGGGTTGGCTTCCTACAAGTACCTCAAGGACCCAAACTTTCCAACAATCCGGTCCAAGTGGCACAAAGTGCACATTATCTTGAGGGTTTGTGGATGAAATTTCAGCAAGTGCAACAACTTCTCCACTTCCTGTCCAATGTAGTAGTTTGCACTTTTTCCCTTGAAGATTGGCAGAATTACTATGATGGTGAGTAGAAAAGGCCTCAAGGTTAACTGATTTGGATAGAAGGTTGGCAGATTTAGCTTTATGGTTGGCAGATTTAGCTTTAGATTTAGCTTAAGTCTGGGTACTATAGGAAAATAGCGCAAGACCTTAGCAGAGATTCCCTTGTGAATCTTATTAGTGCGCCCATTAGTTTTCCATCTTGAAGCATCACACTTCGGACATGTATCGAAATGCTCAAGGTCCTTCCAAAATAAACAGCAGTCATTTACACATGCATCTATCTTTTCATAACCTAGATCAAATGTCTTTAGTAATTTTTTTGTTGAATACAAAGAATCAGGAAGTGTGTTCCCATCTGGCAGCATGTCACGTAAAATTTCAAGTATATCATTGTAGGCATTTTCAGTTAAACCATGCATAGCTTTAAACTTGTACAAGACAACAACTGCAGACATCTTCGTGTACTTCATACAACCAGGAAATAAAGCAATTTCAGCATCCTCCAACAAACTTGTAAAACTTGGCTCTTCTCTTTCATGTGTTGGTTCCACAACACCATCATCTTGGAAATAAGCATCTCTATACATTCTATACATATCAGGCATTTCTACATCTTCATGATCAACATATGAATTTGACATTTCTCCATGCCAAACCCAATTGTTGTACGTAGGGTCAAATCCAAATTCAATTAAATGATCATACACTACATTGGAAGTTTGGTAGCGCATGTTTAGACAATCCTTGCAAGGGCATATTATTTTTTCTGGATTCTCCTCCTTAGCTTGAATTGTATTGACAAAACTCCGTGCCCCATTTTGATACACTAGTGAATTTCTACAAATGAAAACTAGTAATTTTATTTGGATGATCACAAAGACATCTTAACATCTAAGTAAAATAGAGTTTAGAATATAACCTTGGGAAGTATGCCCATTCTTTATCCATTGCTAGTGAACAACTTGTTAACTTAACCTGTTTAAACCTACTCAAGGACCAAAAAACTAATGCTAATTTAACATGCTAAGACAAGCAACTAATCTGCATAAATAGATAAAAAGATATAGAGAGAGAGAGAGAGAGAGAGAGAGAGAGAGAGAGAGAGAGAGAATTTTCATTGAATTGAATGATACCATTGGAAAAAATTGACATCATGAAAAAGATAACCTCAATAGATGCCTTCTAAACATTCAATCTCCTACCTAGCAAATACCACTACATAAATCCAAATTCCAACAGTAAAGATCCCAATACATAAAACTTATTACTTTGCCAAAACCACTACATATTAAATTCCAGAATAGGTCAGCATAATTCAAGAGGCTGCAGACATATATATCACACACACCTTTGATTTAATAAGGAGCAGCACACTCTAAAAAACAGAGTAAGCTATTTGAGTTAGAGTTATCAAGATTCTAGAATACCCTACAGTGACAGATATAGCTTCTGGAATATCAGCTTCTGTTGCCATTAATCTGCAGATAGAAAGGTGGGCTTGAAGGAGGTTGAAAGAGCAGTAGAAGCTTGTGTGAGAGAAGCCATCTTATCAACTACCTTCTCTGGTTTAGTTTTAGTCTGTACGTTGTGGCTATAAATTATAATGGAGACAGAAGGGGTGTGAAGAAAAGAAAATTCAAATCCTAACCTAGGCTGATTTAGATTAAATTCAATCAAATTAAATTAGAAATACACATAAAATCTAGATTCAATACAATCAAATCAGACATGCAAATGGAAACCAAATTCAATCAAATATAATCAAACATTCACATAGAATCTACAAAAATAACCCCAATAAAATCAAGATAAGCAAATCTAGAATCCAAATCAACTCTAAAGCTATAAGAAAACTCATAATCAAGCATTGGGGGTTAGGTAGGGCTATAGAGAATCGCACCTTTGGAATGTCACTGAGAATTCAGCTTTGAAGCAATAGGGCTCCAGCAATTGTCTTCTCACGGATGAGGAATTGGAGCTCTTGATTAAAGACACACAGAGAGAGAATCCAGAAATTGTGAGAGAGAATCCAGAACTTGTGAGAGAGAGAGAGAGATGGAGAGAGGAGTGAAGAGAACGTTGAATGAAAAATAAAACGAGGGAAATTATGTTTTTAGCGGATTGCAAATATATCGGGAGTTTTTGGCAAAAAAATAAAATTGTATTACGAATTACGACATACTCAGTCGAACGCCGTAATGTGTATAAAATAATTTGCATTCACGGCGTATATAAAATCACGCCGTTAAAAGACACAAAAATTACCTTTTTTAAGGCGTGTTTTCATATGCCGTAAATATTAGCTATTAACGGCACGTTTTACTATTTTTTTAAGGCGTGCTTTGTCATATGTCGTAAATGTCAGTTATTAACGACACGCACAGAAAGCATGCCGTAAATATCAAGTCGTAAAAGCTTCAATTTGGTGTAGTGTTAGGGTTCTGTAAATAAAGTTCCACTCCACATCCATCACCATCCAGCCAAAAGTCTTGATATCATTACAAAATTAGGGTAGGTCCTGTATTATTCAAAAGATTTTGTTGATGTAAACTGTTTTTTTGTGAAAGACAATTGTGGCAGTGGAGGCCATCTTGCTTTGTTTTACCTTTTTTATAACATATGATTGGTGGGTTAAATAAAATATGACCGTTTTCTCAAAATTCTGAGCTTGCTCGAGAATATACCTTGCTAACTCCATTCCATTGAACCCATCGGAAAGCTCTATTGTTACCTCCTTAAGCTGATCAGTAAAATTCAGTTTTAGGATTTCAGTAAAATTCAGTTTTAGGATTTCCAGTATTTCCTACTGTAGAAATTTAGGAAGGAATAGAAAATTAGGGAATGGCTCACTGAAAGTGATGCCTGTATTCATTCATCTTTATATGATATTACAGTTGACCTTTGCCTAAGTATGTATGGAAAGCTGGGGTTAATAAGGTAATACAAGATTTACACAATCATAGATTTAAACTAATACTAATATTGAGGGAGAGATTGTATCACGACATCATGAATCCTGATTTGCATATGATTCAGCAATCATAATAGCGGGGGGAGAGATGTTAGGTTGTGACATGGGCTGATTGACTGATTGACTCTCGTCACGCCACCTCAAGCAAAACGGAATGTAGTAAAGATTGAGCTTGGTAGTAAGGAAATGGAAGCGTTCTCGAGATAAACTCTTGGTAAAGAAATAATCGAGTTGATGAGGAGAGGGAGGAGCTCACGAACAAAGTGGGTGAGGAGCTCACAAACAAAGTCATAATCAATCTTGATTTTCCGTGTGCGAGCATGGAAGATGGGATTGGCAGCCATATGAAGAGCGCAGAGATTATCAACAAAAAGACAAGGGGAAGCGAGAAGAGGAACACCAAGTTCGCAAAACAAGTAACAAAACAAGCGGAGTTCAGCTGCAGTAATAGCAAGAGCCCGATAAGGAGTGGCACTTTCTGATACGACTTGAAACCCGCACAGAAAAAAAACAACCCGAACCCGCACGATTAATAATTGGGTAATTTTCGGGTCATAACGGTTGACCCGTTTAATAAACGGGTGGGTTTCTGGTCAACTCGCCAACTCGTTTAAATACTCACTAACCCGTTTAAATTATGTTAGTCTATAATAAATATTACAATTATACACTTATAATCCAAGGATCCCTTGGGGACTAGTGGTAAGCTCTTAGGCTTTAAAGAAAAGGTGATGGGTTCGAAACCCCTACGATCAAACGATAACCAAAATCAAATCCGAGCATACCATCATGTTCGGGACAACATGTGGATCATTTTAGGACCAAGATGGACACCTAAACAGTGCCCACGCGCTGCCACATGCGCCGACAGCGCGTGAGTGTTTAGAGAAATTCTGGTGACAGGAAAATCTCAATATCGTTGGTCAAGACCTATACCTACATGATCAGGACATTAAGTGGAGCAACTTTTGTTCTTGGACCAACCCCAAAAAGTAACCGGAAGTGGCCAAAATCGAGGGCCGAAACCTGCCAAAACTTCTATCGCTTAAATCCGTTCCAAAATGCAGAAATTTCTCCTAAATAACACAACCAGCAGCTAGAACACATTGAGATGATGAAAAGGCATACCAAGTTCGTAGAAAATGGTGGCTAGAGGGGTCCGAATGAGCTCCGGAAATTTTATGTAAAAACTCGACCTTTTTCTGCAATTTTCGACGACAGCGACGACGGATCATGGCGGCTGAAGGGTGGGGCTGATAGAGGGAGAGAAGCCGGTTATTTTGGACCGGTGCCACCAAAAATGGCGGCGTGTGGCGGCAGTGGAGGCGGAAAAACTACCGCTGCTGGTTTACCGGGGAGGGGGGGTAGCTCCAGAATGTTTCAGTTTATGCTCCTATCTATTATCTGGATATACCAAGAAAGATTTTGGGG